GTTATGAAATTCAACAAGTACAGCTGCAAAGTCCTCTGTCTGATTGGGAGTAAGCCCTGCCGTGATACAGGCTGGGGACTGGCAGGTTGGGAGCAGCCCTGGTGAAGAGCAGTGGGGATCTTGGTGGGCAGAAGGCTGCACGGGAGCCAGCAGTGGGTCCTGGCAGCAGGGCAGGCCGGCAGTGCCCGGGGCTGTATGAACACGAGCATGGCCAGGAGATTGAGGGAAGTCATTTCCACCCACTACTCACCACTTGGTGAATTACAAAGCTAGGCAGCATCCAGTGTTGCCTCACCCCACTCCCAAATTCAGGACAGACAGCAATAAACTGGAACAAGTCTAGCAAAGGGCAACCAAGATGGTCAGGGACTTGCTCAGTCGGGAACCTAACAGCAGCCCTTACAGTGTTCCCCAGGAGGTGGCCAACAACATGAAGCTAGGCTCCTCACATTCCTGTGTGGTGGGAGCATGAGAGAAAACAGGCATGAGCTAAAACAAAGGAGGTTTAGGCTGGTTATAAGGGAAAAATGTTTTTCCCCTATGTGGATGGTACCAGGAGCTACTAGTGACACTCTGCAGAGTCATTCCTTGGAGTCAGTCAAAACCTGACAGTTAAAAAATAATTTTAAAAGGCAAAATAAGCACCAAATTAAATAATGCAAAGCCTTGGTAACAGAGGGGAGTGGCACTGTTGAAAACCTGGAATTGTGTTGGTTCTTCATGTGGCAGGTCATGATAATGTTATCAAAACTGCAGAACTGAGAGTAGCAGGTTATTTGCGTTACAAAGGGAACAATAAGATAAGTCAATACTTAACAGAGAAATTAAATACTTAATAGAGAAATTAAATAAATGGGATTTTTTTTATTTCACTCCATGTTGTACAGAATTTTGTTGAAATACACTGTCTGTTAGAAAAGACGAGTCACTGTCTGAAATTATGAATGTCAAACAAATAAGTGCTGAAAGAGTTTGAACTGTGTAAAACATGTCACAAGAACCAGCTATTCTGTCCACTCTTTTTCACTGAATTTATTATTTTCACTTTGTCTCAGATCCCATGAATTTGGAAATCTGTAAATCAGTTTGGGAAAAGGACACTAGAATGCCCTGTCTTTGTCTTTTATGTTATGAAATTAATATGTCTTACATTTGACTAATAGACTAATGTGTGAACCCTGTATTTTCAATAGCATGAGAGCTCAAATATTTGCTTATCAAAATGAGAATTGAATATTGGAAAAAAAAGAAATTAGAGACTTCTAGAAAGTAGACTTACAATTTTCTTTTTTCTTCTTTTTCTTCTATAAACAGCACATCAGAAATATGTTCTTGGGCATCTCTTTTTTCCTGAAGGCCTTTAGAGGAGATCCCATGATATTTGCAAGAAAAATTCAATAATTGAGTGACCCATAAGAGAATGAAAATTATAATTAACATTTATATAGCATATTTTATGAAAAAGACGCTTCATAAATAATTGAAAAGCATTGCTGAAATAAATAGTATCAACCAGAAATTTTCTGAGAAAAAGCAGATCAAGTGTACTGTGAGTAAGTCTTTACTCTTGGAGAGCTCCACATGGCATTATTGTGCTTTTCAAAATGAAGACAGGATTTTGTTTGTTAATGTTATTCTTTGCACATTCTTTCTGCTTTAAATTAGAACATCAAGGAATTGAGGCACCTTGGCTTTTGCTTGTCAAAATAATCAGGAATGATAGGTGAATTGGGACTGAGCCCAAATCTCAACAAAAGCATGTTTGTATTTGGAAACAAAATGTAAAGTCTTGTCTCCTGCTCTTCTTCCTCCCATCCCCTCAATTTTTCTTTTTCTTCCCATACATTTGTTTTTGTTGTACTTGCTGGTCTGGGAACTATTAAAAGAGGACTAGAAAAGCCCTGCTTTGCCCCCAGATGTGCTGTGATACTATCTTGTTGGAATCTCCATTTTTTGAGATCTAACCCATAGAGAGCCAGTTGAGGTAAGCAAGTAAACTTTTGAGTACTTGACTTTGTTACTTAAACATTAGTTTGGTGCTGAAAAAGAGGAGTCACTGGAGGATCAGAGTTTTTGTCTTTTCCTGCTTGATCTGTTTGAGACTTTTCATTCTTGCACTTAGCTAAATATTCTTGCCTTTTATGTTAAAGCTGTAACACAAAACTGGCATTAACTGAATCTTCTTTGTTTAATATTTTCCTTCTGAGGAGTCAAAGGATGGGTGATGTACTTCCAGGCCTGTGCGAATGAGAGAAACCTGAGGAATGTCCTAGGTTTGATAACTTTGAAATCAGATTCTCTTTCTGTTTCAATGGAGGAGAGAATTGGATATCTGAGGAGGTAAATTGGAGGAGAAATTGTATACCTGAACAGCATTATGGAAGCATCCAGCAGAGCAGGATAATGCTTCAAGTCCCAGGAACTCCCTGATGTTGCCTTCTTTAGTTTTGCACTGCGATAGTCAACATCCATTGAAATGGCAGGAGGATTTAGGACAAAGGAAAGCAGAAGCTGATTTTTTTTCATTTTTCATTTTTTCATGTAGCAGAGGTTTCCTAGGAAAGGTTAGTCCTGCAAGATGAGGTGACTGTATCAGAAAATTATAAAAGGATATTATATAACTGATTCTTGTACTCTTGACATATATTTAATGGAAAGTTACACTTGCATCTCCTTATAGCAAAATTGTCCCTGACAAAGCATATCCTTGATAAGACAGAAGAAAATGCTTCTTGACATGGGTTTTTGAACTCTGGGCTGGGAAGAGCTGTGTTCTACAAGGATCAGAGGGAAAGGGACCTGCATAGTCTGCTAGGCTCTCAAGGGGAAGGTTAAATATCTATATGGAACACCTGAGCAGAGAAAACATGGTTGGATAATGCACCAAGGAGGAAGAAGTAAGATGGCAACAGAGAAGAAAGTAGTTGTGAAAAGAGGGATGGGACTATATTTGTCTATGGGAGAGGTTGTGAGGTAGGCAAGTAATTAATATGTTTGTTTCACTAAGATTTCTCTGAGTAGAAGTTGGCCTTTGGGACCTTTTTTGGAAGGTGTTGTGTAATCTTTTGAAGGAAAGTGAATTTGCCATAAGACAAATAGGAGAGTCTAGTTTACACTAATACAAAGACAGCTCTGTGTGACCATGGAGCAATTTTTCCCATTACTCCTCCCAAGAGACAGTTACATCAAATGACTGATTTCTTATTTTTTAATTTTGAAGAGAAAAAATAGAATATGGTTTCTGGAGCATTTTTGAAAATAGTACTTCAACTTAAAAAACAATAAGAATGGCATCTTTGTTCTCTGTATCCATCTTTCTGCCATTTAACACTCTTTTGGTGTGGTGTTTTGGGAGACACCCTGTCTAAATGTACAGCCTTTCAAACATCTTTTCATCTCAAACATCTTTTCTAATTGTACTTGTCTCATCACTGTTCAGAGTGTTCATATTCAAGATCTGAATCCTCCCAAAGATCCTTCAGGTGTTTGGGGATTTTTTGAGGTCTGTCTCAAATATGGACTTTCAAGTTGCTTTTCCCAGACTTGAGTTACTGAATAATAAAAACATTTCCTTATGTCCAAATTCATATAGTGTGATGAGTCTGGAACACATCCCCATAGTCCAGCTGTTTTTGTTATAGCTGTGTGCTGTTCATATTGATTAGGAGAGCTTGAAATTCCTCAGGTTTGTCTCTAAGACAATGACTGCTGGTTTCTTTTGTAAAGTTCTTCTTGAATTATGGCAAACATGGAGTCTTTTTAAATATGTGATTAATCTGATCTTTGAGAAACATTCCCATATGCTTCAAGATATTACTTTTTTTATTTTAAACTACCAGTTTCTAACCCAGGTACGAGCTGTGTGATTTTCCTTGCTTATAAACACTATAGAAGCAGAACAGTATCAGGTGCAGTCAAGCAGGGAGTGGGAGCAGACTAAGCCTACTGAAGAACTTCACATATTGTAAGCAAGAAATATGCTTAGGTTTGGTTGTTGATGATTATTTTGGGTTTGGTTTTGGTTGGATTTTTTTTGGTGCTATTTATTTCTTTCCCCTTGGGGACAGTTTTGGGTTTTCTTTCTTTGTTGGGTTGTTCCTTGTTTGGTTTTGGGGTTTTTATTTTGAGGGAGAGAGAAAGAGATATCACTACTTAGTTGAATAGATTTAATCTCTTTGGAAACTTTTCCAGATACTGAGAGTAAATTCTTCCTTTTCTTCTGCTTTACCCTTTCCTTCCCATCTTTCCACTTGTGAGTGGGACCAAAAGCTGTGCTTACTTGGCTCATTGTAAACATGGAATGCAACAGCTTTTAATGAAAAAATGGAACTTCTTTTCTATCTAAAGTTATGTAACTGGTGAGAAGATCACCCTGGAAAGAGAAGCATTGCTTTATTCCTTTCAATGTGTGTTGTACCCATTAACTCACCAGACACTTATGAAAGGGAAAATTATAAAGTATTTTTAAATTGCCAACACTAGATACAAGTGAAAAATGACATTTAGATTTTTCAAGTCCAGTTCTTTTGCTGAATAAATATTTACAATGTCTGTTTATTATGTCATGTCAAATTAAACTAGTATTTATTTTGCCTGGATGAAAGCCACGAGTAGCCTGAATTAACCTTAAGAAAAATGTTGAGATTGCAAAAATACTGAGGTCAATATAGCAAACAGTTCTCTGAGTAATGCAGATGCTGTTTTTGCAGTTTAAGTCCAGCTCTCTTGGATAAAACAGTGAAAATGTCTCTCAGATCAGTTTCCCATTAATAGAAAGTTTGATATTCATTATTTTATTTTCATGAAATATAAGTAATAAAATGGTAATGCCTTACCCTTAGTGGTGGAAAAAATCTTGTAACAAACCCCAGAAGAATATTGCAGGGGGAGCCTGATAATATTTTTTTATGCTAATTCTCGTTTTGAAGTGGGAGTGAATGATGTCATCCTGTCTCCTCCCACTGTGTAAACTAAGCTCGTGTCAAAGTGTTGCTGCCTCTTGTCACAGAGAGAACGGTTCACTTAAATGCAGCTGCAGTACTTCTGTGTGATACCTGTCAGAGCCATTCCCAGTGCGAGGTTGGGTTTGTGACCATGATGTCAAGATTTGTCTGTCTTCTTTTCTGTGGATATATTGCACTAAACCTGGGAAGTACTCAGAAATTGCCAAGAGGCAAGTAGCTATGAACAACTTTCTGGGGGTTTGTTTGTTTTTCTGTTGTGGGACTTCGGGGTTTTTAAAGCCTGCATTTTGTTATCGAAACTTGCTTTCAACATGTTAGAAATGATTAAGAATAATAGACAAAATGAAAGAAGGTCAGGGAAAAGGGCAAATCCAGGTATAACAGCAACCTTAAAGCTCTTAAATAAAATAAGCTCAAAAGTTTTCTTGGTATCTTGTGACTCTAGTGAGAATTATCATGACAAAGTTGCTGGATTTAGTGATTTTATAGTGATTTGGACAGCAGTGTGCAGGTCTGTGGTTTAATATCTTAAAGACAATGTGACTTGGAAGCACCCTGTGTCACTGGTGGAAGATTTCAGTTCCGTCTTTGAAAGAACTTGTATACTTTCCTTTGTATCTATCCTAACAATTCAGTAGGAATTGACTAGTGTTGGTCAGGTTGCATGCATTTTGAGGGAGAGAAATATGATTGATTAAAATTTATACAAGTAGAAAAACCCCTCCAACCTATGTGAATATTTGTTTAACCATTCCTTTCTCCCAGAGTCTGGAAGTACAGTAGATTTGCAAAGCTGGCAGTGATCTCTTCTTCTCCTTGCTTATATGACACTCGTAACATTGGCATTTTAAGAGTAGTTTATTGCTTACTGCAGGAAGAGCACTCATAGCATAAAATTAAAAGAATATTTCTCTATCTGGATGGTAAAACACTTCGTAGTTCCTTGGCATTAAGGCAGCAATTTCACAACTGTTTCTGTACTGCACGTATTGTTCTCACTTTGTGGCAGTGCTTGCCTGAGTCCACTGTGCTTTGTAATGCATTTTACATCTGCATTCTCCTGCAGACACCGACATTTAGAAGAACCTGTGATTTAGTTATAAGAGTATTTTTTAAGAAATAAACACCTTGAGGGCTTCCTCTCTTTCGTAGAAGGGAAACCTAAAGTTATTTTGAGGAGTTAAGATGATTTTTCATCTCTACCCCTCTTTAAGATATTTTTATTTTCTCCAGAATATCATTATTTTTCTTTCCTATGATGATGTTCTTTTGAAATTATCTTTCTTTTAATCTCATCTTCTGGAGACAATGTGGAGTTTTTTATATACTGGTAAAAGTGGAACAGTGTGTAGTCTGCAAGTAACAGATATACAGTTCCAGTCAAGCTAACTCTAAGAATTTAGTTTTGTCAAAAAAGGACTTAAGAGAGGATTATGTTGACCAGACAGGAATCTTGTATGTATTGCCTAGGCTGAGGGAAGGAACTTTTCCAGTGCTTGTCTTTTTAAATGATTTCACTGGACTTTCTGCTCACTACTGTAGAATAGTGGCTCTAAGTTTATGCTAACTGTGAAGTTCAGACAAAGCTTCTAATCCACTGCAAGATTAACTCTGGCATGCATTTTTTCTGTCCTAAAATAACATTGCAGAAGTGAAGTTCTCTTTGCCAAATGCATAAAACTGCAGGTGGAAACTTCATTTCTTTTCAGTGAAATAACTTTTAAGATTCTCCCATTGCAGTGTGGAAACATCAGTCTAATTATTTTGTTTGTAGCTGCCTCTCCAGTTACTATTTTCAAATAATTGCATTGAAAAAGCAAGAGTATTAGTACTTAGCTGCTATCCAGAAATGTTCAGCGGATTGTCTTCTACAGCATTGTCTTGTTTGATAGGGACTAGAGACTTTTTTTGTAAGCAAAGAGAATATGAGTTTTAAAAATTAAAATGTGTACTGGTAATATTCTGTTTTAAGAGGGCTTCTTTGCCTTGTTCTGCAAGCTTAAATTCCAGTGAACTCCCGTGCTCTTTAAGTCCCAAAGCATGTAACTGAGGTTTCAGAGTCACTCTTGCTCTCTGGGGAACAGTGGAATCAAGTTCATAACTTGAAGGAGAGCAATCTAGCCCAACTCTCTTTCTGGTGATGCAGGTACTTCTGGGAACAGGTTACCAGAGTAAATCTTGCCCTTCTTACCAGCACTTTGCAATTCTAGTGCTCAGGTCTTCTCTCCCAGAGGTGAAACACATTGACCCCATGTCTCATGGACTGGGATTTCCTTTCACTGGTACAAGGAACATCTTGCCTCCTGCAGCTGCAAAGGAACAGAGCCAGTACAGTGACTTCCAGAGCTGTTTGAGAGACTGTGTGCAAATGTGCTGGTCAGGAGGCTGGAACACAAATTGCTCCCTATTCCCATATATTTTTGTACTTTCACCTCCACATATGTGTGTTTTACTAGGATGAAAAAGAAAATATTATTGCTGTTCTCAAAAGTGTGTTTTTATTAATGAATTCTTTCATTGTTTTGACATCAAAGATTAAGGTATTGTTGGAGGAATAATAATGATAAGTAAAGACAATATAATTGGAAAAGGAAGGCTGGTGGGTAGCGTGTTTCAGTGTGAAGGCAGTGGATTTTTTACAATTATGTTTGTGTTTCATCTGGGGGATCAGCTGCTAAGAAAATTCTGCAGTCAATGCCTTTGGATACTGAATGAGGGATGACAGGACATCAGAGTGAGAGATGGTGGTACCATTACAGAAGACATTTCATCCAGTATTTCAGTGGCTGTCTGTTCAACTTTGTCTAGCCTCTAAAGTTTTCTTCTAATTAGAATTTTTCTACTTGTTTTTGTCTCTGTCATTGTGCCATTATGCCAGTGCCATCCAACATACATGATTCTAAAGTTCAACACTGTTGTGCTTCATCGATGGATGGAAACATGCTCTAATTTTTATGGCTCTGCATAACAGAAAAGTTCCATTCTTAAAGAGCTCAGTGTTGTCTCTCTAGACAGGAATTAAGTAGAGACAAAAAGACTTGTCTTTAGAGAATGAATTGGTCAGCAGATCATCCCGGATCTGAGACAGGGATGAGAAAACAAAGCCACAGAATCCAGAACAAACAAATTACAGGATGCAATCCCCGAGATTGTACTGCCTTATAAACCGTGTTTCACTGTCATCTATCCAGTTGGAGCTGATACAATTGTTGAAGGAACAAGTGAAGAATAAGTTCTTAGTGTTTGGTAAAACAGCGTTTCATGTTTTTGATTTTGTCACTTAACTTTCCAGTTACAGCACAGAGGTGCATGGAAATGTGTTTTTTTCACTAGAATCTCTTGTTCTGATAGCTTTCGTCTATCTTCATGTTGTGTTTTACTTTGTTAGAGCTGAAGAGAACTTGGGGGTTGATCCCTTCTTATAAAATTTCAGTTTTAGGAAGTTATTAAAAAAAAGAGCCTTAGTGTTTTTTCTGGGTTTTTTTCAGGGTATTTTTTGACACATTTCTGACCACTGTGGTTTTCCTACTATTTGAATTAGTCATCAGGTACAGTGGAATGCAGGTCCATCCCGCCTCTACTTTCCAAGACTCAGGCCTATCCTACTCTGCTGTCCAGGAAGGCTCAGGAAACCCTAATTTGGCTTTCTTCTGGTTGCTGTCTACTTAGGGAAAAAGAATATGGACTTGACATTTCTTAGGGAATCATGTGAAAAAGCCTGATTTACAGACGCCTGTAGGGAAAACCAGATCCAAAACTTCTTTGTATCTATAGTTGTTAGCAGTGGGGTTAAGTGGGAAAAATAATTGTTTTGCATTGAGGATTTGTTTCTTTGTTTGGACGTACTGAATATGTTTGGTCTGATATTGTAGATAGCTACTAGCTAATACTTGTACTTAAGGTAATTATAACTGACATCTCTTTTAGAGTGAATGCTGTATTTACAGTAGACTCCCAAACTTTGACATTTGAGAAAAGGAGTAGACTAATTTTATTCCTAGCTAAGTTTGCTGGCTATGCTATGTTACGTAATACATCTTACTAAGCAGAGCATGTGTTTTCATTTACTAGTGTCAAACAGTTAAAACAATGTAGAGTTTTTTCAATGTATCACAGTTATTATATTGCAGCAGCCAAACTTTAAACTTTTGTGCTGCCCTCTCCCTTCCTGCCAGAATCACCCCTTTGGTAGCTGTAGGGCGGCATGGCAAAAACTGTAAGACAGGGAAAAGTCTCCTGGAAGTTGTGGGGTTTTGAGCATGCAATGAAGCTGGCATATCAAAATATCACAAAATGACATGTGGTTTATATGTTACTGTCCCCATGGTTTATAAAACATCTTTCTGGGAACTATTTTTCAAAATACACAATACATTAACCTTTAAAAAACGTTGTTATGAAGAAGAGCCAGTTTGAACTAAATTATTTAACTTCATTTTTTGTTGTGTCTGGAAAAAGAAGTGCAAAATTAATTTGGGTTTTTTGTGAAATATTTTTCTTATGTTTAATAGCATATAAGTGACAAGTCAAACAGGAAATTTAAAAGGGATCCTTTATCTGGTATAATAGGGTTTTCAGTCACTAGATATGTCATGGCAAATTTGGCTGATTCTTGCAGAGAGTGAAAACAACTCATAAGAATGTAAAAATTATAGCAGTTCATTTAATCAAAGTTATCTTATCATGCAGACAGTTGTGTCCTAGGCTTGCACATAAACATATCAAAACCCAGTACTGAGTGTCAGGCTTCTGAGTTCAAAGATAATCTGTAATACCAGAATTCCATTTTTGTATTGGCACATGCAGTGGTGCAACATTGTGATGATACATATGGGTGGATTCTGCCAGAATTAAATTCCACTGCATATGAATACCTCCAAAATGATCTCACTGCTGGATAATCTATATAACCTTCCACCTCTTCATTTTAATTTTTATGTTCCCGAGTATCTCTTTTTGAACCTTATTTTTCAGCCCTCCTTCATATAATCTTTGGCTCTAGCTGTTCCAGAAGGACAAGCTACAAAATTCACGTGAGGGGAGAGCTCTAGGCTAAATCTTGCTGCTGCTGTGGGGCCAGACCTACTGTGGATCAGTTGACTGATGATACAGTGAATGGACAATGGGTTTGAGCCTTCTTTGGACCTTTTGGGCTCACCAGGTGTGCACTGCACACTGCATGTGGAAACAAAAACCTCTGTCTGCTCCA